CCCCCCCCCCCCCCCCCCCCCCCCCCGGCTGGCGAGGGGGCCCCGCCGGAGGCGCGCTCTTACGCGATTTGGCTTCACTAGAAGATATTTTTTGGGTCACTTTGACGATGTCAGACTCAGGTGTTAAACCCTTGAAAAATTGATCAACATGTTGGAAATTTAGAAAAATTGAAGCTTGAAATTTTCTCAGAGCTTTTGTTGGGTGTGACAACACGCATCGAATGTACTCCCGAGTAACATGTAACATGTTCATCATGAAGCTGCTTCCGAAACATCTTAAAGTCGAAAGCCTCTACCAGATGGCCAGATGGTTCCCATCTTTCATTTTTCAGTAACAAGACATCCTCGCTTAAAACCACGAAAGAAAATAACATTCTGTTGCAATCCACCCGAAAAAGCGCGTCTACCCTTCTCTCGCTCCAGCAACCTACTCCTTCGAGTGCGTGCCTGTGTGCTTGCGTGGTTGCGCTCCTCTCTCACCCTCTTCACCCTCTCATGCGGCGCAATATGGTGGGTTTCCAAGTGGTTTGGGGGGCATAATGTGATACGTACGTAACATGCAGAAGTACTGGCTGTACTGGCACCCTTCTGAGCCAGTACTAGGAAACTGGCCGGCAGGAATACTGGCAGTACGTACTGGTCCAGTCCCCGACCCTAAAAAAAAACTTTGGTCCGCGTCGCTCTCTCCTCCACGTCTTTTCCCGTCAAAAACATCGTTCCGCAAGTGCGCGGTGCCCGCACCTTCTCGGCGTGCTTAGCGGCGACCTTCGCCACGGCCTCCCGCGACTCCTTGGTGGGCTTGGGGATCGGCACGTGCACCTGTCCCTGCCCCTCCGAGTTGGGGTTGAGGCCCATGCCGCACTCTCGAATGGCGTCCTCTACCACCTTAGTCATCTGCGGGGATGAGACGAGGAGGAGAGTGTATGTACATAGAGGAACGAGGAACCACAGTAGACAGGAAGCGGGAGGGTGGGGGCGAGGGGTCTCGCTTTGTCTGGTCGCCGTGCGGCGAAAGGAGGGACAAGTCCCACACGCACGTGGAGTGCGATGTGCGCGAGACTGTGTGCAAATAACCACAGAAGCGACAGAAAAAATCCTCCACGGCGGAACCGACAGAAAACCTGACACAAGCAGCAGAAATGCAGTCGAGAAGCGACCTAAAGCTTCTCCTAGGCTGAATGGGATGCCGGCACCATTACCACCGCGGCAGCAGTACGATATCCTTTCTTCTTGTTCGCGCGCGGCTTCGAATTTTTCTCCCGTCCACACCTACCGTATATGACACAAGATAACACACACCCTGGACCGATTTCCAAAGCTCGATTACTCCACGACGAAGAGGATGCACAAACAAAACGATACATTTTCGAAAAATTCTCGACGAGACGATTCCAACGCTGCCGTTTTCGGCGCCGTGACTCTTCCTGCTGTTGAGAAATCGAGCTTTGAAAATCGGCCAAGGGGGTGTGTTATCTTGTGTCATATACGGTAAGCTAGACGCCACAATTCGTCGGCGCGTCTTGCTCGAAAAACCAAGAGGCGCATCGTGCGCAAAAATGCTCCCAACATTGCTTTTCAAACGACAAGGCAGTTCTGCCTTGCGTCCGTCGAGTCAACTTTTGTCACGCAGGAGCAAACCAAGGCGTGCGTACTCGCGTGACCCGCCACACTGCAAAAAATAGGCGACGAACAAAAACCCTCTCAAATTCTACTGCGAGAGAGGCCCGAGCGTTCCCTAAAAGACCCCACGCTCGGTGGTGTGCATCAAGGTGAGCATGCAACTCGAGAGCACAAGTCAAAGAAAAAACCACACACACACACACACACACACACACACACAATTCCGAAAAAAAGAACCCGAAGCGAAGACGAAGAGAACATCCAAAAAATTCGTAGTAGATGCGTACCCCAGGATCGTAGACGCTGAGAACGATCAGCTGCGGCCCCTTCATGGACGCCTGCGCCACCGAGGCGAGATTCGTCATCGACCCGTAAGATTCCACCCTCACGTTGTCCAGCATGCCTTAGGGATTGCCAAGACGGCGAAGGCGGGGGTGGTGGGAGTCGGGTATACTCAGCACCTCATCCTCGGGGGGGGGGGGGTGTACTCATAGTCGTGCATGCCGTAGGCGTTAGACCATTGACCTCGCATCCGTACAAAGCCGGGACGGAGCACGCCGGGTTCTCACCGGACCAGGCTCTCACATCGGGGGGGGCAACGGAGGGGCGGTGAAAAAGGAAAAAAAAACAAGAATCCTGCAGGTGTTTTCTCAACACTCCCTCTGCTGCAATCTGCTGCAAAGGCTTCAATACACCCCTTCGATTTGGCCAGTGTGATGTTTCCCAAAAAACTAAGAGGGGGGGGGGGGGGACTGCTGGGCATCTAGTGGGAAGCAACATGAATATTGGTTGTGATTAAGCCTTTCACATCACCTTGATCGATCGCGGTCCACGGGCTTAGGTCAGCATCTGGCGTCGCCGCAACACATGGCATGGAACAATCGGCGTTGTTGAAACGGCGCGATATCTCACCTGTCTTACTCACAGTACGTGGTATTCCGCGCCGAGCCGTTGCTAACATAAACGTGCCGTAAGAAAACGAAAATCTAGGACTTCTTCGGTCCCCATTATCACTCCTTTTCGATGTGTCAAATCGGGGATCCCCCCACTACTGGAACAGCTTCTTGTCACCTGTACTGCTCGCGGTGCTATATCGCTTTAGGCAAAGCTCGTCAGCGTGATTAGGGCACGCATGCATAAAGCGGTGCGCGGTCGTACAAGTTGCTGGAGGCAACCATGCAGGCTGCTTCGTACAGTGCCCCTGAGGAGCTCCAGCACTGAGATGGACGCCAACCGGTTCGAAAAAAAGCTCAAAGGAGAGAAGGGGGGGGTACGAGCTCTCTCAACTTCTTACCCGGATCTGTCTTTCCCCCTCGCAATCCCTGGAAGTCGCGAGTCAGGCCCTGCCCTCCACCCGATAGCCCCCCCGACGCCCGCAGCACCGCCGGACAGAAGCAGGCGTGTAGGGAAGCGGTGGGAACGGTTCCCACGTCCCGCACACGTAGTAGCCCGCCGGTCGTGAAGCCGCCGCGGCCGGATGCGACACCGCCGAGCGCGAGCGCAGTACAGCAGTATACGTGTCAGCAATATGGAGGAAAAACGAACGTGTTGGACAATTTTCAGTTTTTACACACCCCAGATGATGGTGTCGAGAAAAAACGAAAGTCTCTCCCCAGAGGTGCGAGAAACGAAAACAATCTACCGTCATATGCATACACAAACTCGCGCTCAAACGCTGCACCTGCAGGAACAGACCATGCATGATTTTTCATAGCTCGTACAAGTATGCATATCACAAGATGTTTACACAATGGAAAAAACTGTCCGCACGCACAGCAGTACCTATCGCGCGGCATTGCGCCTTCGCGGCTTAGGGGCTATACGACGCGGGGGGCACGCTTAAGACGTCGTGTGCGGTGCATACCTTCCGCTGATCGCGCGAGGGGCAAAGGGTGAGATCTCCCCCCCCGCGCCAAACATGCGGATCTACGTGTACCAGTTCACCCTATGTATACTTTCTGCACTTCTCTTCTTGAGCTCCTTGTCTAAGGAACACGTTTTTTGGGTGTTGCGTACTTTTGTGTGTTTGGTAGGGGAGGCTATTCTCTTGACCGAAACGCCCTCTACCTGCAAAACTTTGTCGAAGCGGGCTTTAGATTCGGGGATGCCAGCGATGTCGTCGAGGCTCTCGGCAATGTCTTCCCCGTCCGCGGCGCTGCTTGCGGCGGAGGCCTTCTGGCCTCTGCCGCCCTTTTTCCCTGTCGTTGGGTGTGTGCATGTGGTTGACGTGCGCCGGCGGTGGTGTGATTGAGCATGCGTTGCGCAGAAACTACGGCCACGTGTAGCTCTGTAATTGGTGCGTCTCATGCCCGCCTGTATCGAAGCTCGGCCAAGAGAAACACGAACCGCTACGGTGGTGCATGACGCGGATCAGTGCTTTTACGAGAGACGGGACTTGCTCTTGAGCCTTAATAAGTCCTTTGCATACACAGCAAAGTTATAGATTCGGTGTCTAAATTATCGCTTTATGCTCGGGGAATCGCAGAAACAGATGTATTGTGTCCGATAACGCTATTAAAATTCAGTTATCCCGGACTGTTATCTTTGCTACCAAGTCATTGTATTTTGCAAGACAAAAAACAAATGCACGCATACAACAACTCTAATAAAGGTGTAAGTATTTTTTTTTGTCTCGGAAATCCACTTGTTCGCCTTTGAAGAGGAATCGAGAGGAGGTACTGGATGGATAGAAGTCCGAGCAGTTCTCATGATAAAACAGAGCCCCAACAAGTGCCTACAGCAGTATCCGGGGACTTTCAAAGCTTGATCGCTTCACGGGGCGGCGCCTGCAGTACGTAGCGCGGCGGAGGTCGAACAGACAGCTGCTTTCGGATAGCCACCATTGGACCTTCACCCCGTTGCCATTGGTTGGAATGTCATGTTTTGCAAGACTCTTTTGCGACTGGTTGGAGTGGCAAAGGCGGTCAAATATCGTGCGAGACGTGGAGGTCGACATCCGGCGTGAACGCGAATGCATGCATAAGCACATTGCGGGTGGGAGTACGCCATTCGAGCAAATTCCTCGACGCTGGCATCTCGTCCCTGGCTCTATTTTTTTTGCGCTGTACTGCTGTACCAGCCATGCGTGTACCGTAGGTGACGCAAGATACCACACCCCCTGGACGGACAATGTTTCTATTAAGCTGGAGTTCTCCACGATGAAGAGCATGCGTTTGTCAAACGAGACGTTATCGGAAAGCTCTCAGCTAGACGGTTCCCATATCGACATTTTCGGCACCGCCACTGTCTGCCCTGGTCAAGGGGGTGTGGTATCTTACGTCACACACGGTGCTGCCGATGCATGCGGCCAATGCAGTGGGCCATTCTTCTCCCAAGAAGCTAGCTGAGCTCAAACAAGAGCAAGGCAGCAAGCAGTACATCCACTGCATTCCCCTTCCCTAAAATAGTGCATATGCAGTCCGCCTAAGCTGTAGCTGATGGCAGTGCGCGACTGCATGAAAACAAGAAAGTACTCTTGTCAAGATGAGTCTAATACAACACTCTCCAAGATTGTCCCGTAAGACACTGGGAGCAGCGAGCAGCACCTTTCTTTCCTCCGTGCTTCAGGCGTATCTGCCCAACAAAGGAAGGGCAATCATCCGGTTGCCGGCCTTGCTGGTGTCTCTGCAGTGGTCGAGAGAAAGGGGGATGCCGGTGCTGCGGGTGATTTGCAATCACCCCTGCTGCTGCTGCTGCATGTTGGTGAAGACGAGCCGCGGATTCCACCATCGGTATCCACTTTCTCGGCGAGCTTAGGGTGGCAGTCTTGCGCACCCTGGCAAGGTGGCGACAAGCAGGAACTCTGAATGACATCCTGAGAGAGACACACACCACGCGTCGATCGTGCTGCTGTGTGTGGCCAGGCAATGTGGCCCATGTACATACCAACATGGAGCGGGACGGGACAGGACCAGGGGGTTGCGCATACAACCAGCAACATGCCTTATTGATGACTTCCTATTGGCGGACCCCCTCGTATCAGACCCAAGGTCGAACGCTCGAATGTACCAGTGGTGCGCGAGCGTGTGGATCATCTACGAGGGCACAAGATCTGACGGTTCCTGAACAGCGACGTCGGTTCAGAAAGGTACGGAAGGCTTCCCCCGTGTGAACAGTAGAACAAGGTGAAGTCGGACGAATGGCGTATATCCCGCGTTTCATATATATGCAGTGCTGAGGACATCAGAGATGTCGCGCGTATTGGATACCGAGAGCAGTGCTCTGGTGTGGCTGGGGGGCTCTTGTCTCGGACACGTGACGTGCGGCCGGGCGGGAATGTACAGCAGTAGTGGGATTCTGCAATTGATACTTGAAGAATGAGATATGCGTGGACCTCCTCCACAATCGCAACCTTCTGTCTCGTAGTATGTACAAACACACGTAGTCTACAATGTACGTCGATTCTCGTGTTTTTTGTTCCTGTTCCTGTCGCCCTGTCATGCGGCGACAGCAGGGTTTACATAGCACCGCAGTAAATAGACGTAGGTAGGAGTGCAGAGACTTCCTGCACCGCAAGGCCACACTCGACGGACGTGTCAGTAGTCGAGGGTGCATATCACCTCCAAAAACGCCTACTTTTTCATGTACACGGCCAGTAGCCCTCTCGATGACTTCCGCGAATGCAGAGGATGGCAAGGGCAGCCAATTTGAACTTCGACAGCAAATACGCGTCTAAAAAAAAAAAATACCACCCACAGAGCCGGTGTCTGCACTATTTGTAGAAGGAGATGGGGACGAACATACACAACACGGTGCGCGGAAGCCTGCGGCCTCGGGGTAGAATTAGAAAATACATACTTCACATGTGGCCTTGGTGTACGTACATACGAAGGCGTCACTCCTGTAGCCATAAGCGTTGTCGGCTACACACTCCCCGCGATATGCTACCAAATTTTACTTTTCCTCGTGTGACATACGAGTATCCACAACAAGCACGAGGGGTATGCTACAAAAAGGGGGCAGTGTACGTTGTTTAGTTGTCGAGAAGGCCGACTTGCGGTTTCGCGGCAGAAATCCCCCCATTTTGCAGGTCCATGCGAGTCTGTGTGACCACGGGTTGGAGTAAACGGCACTATAATAGTGCTGTGAGCGCTGATTTGAAGTGAAGAAAAAAAAAAAAATGCGAGTCTGTCAGGAGGTGTGCCGCGCGTTTGTTGTCCAATGGTATGAAGTAGTAGAGAGATTGAACGACGACGACAGAGGAGAAGAGCGACCGGCACCATCAACTCTTGAAGGATCGATAAGCATATGCATTTTTTTTTTTTTTGTGTGCGAATGCATACCACCACTTGGTAACCTGCACTCGTAGCACGTGTTTTCTTGTTTTTTCACATATCGCGATCCCGCTGGTACAGTACGAGGGAAATCGATGCCCCCCCACCCGCACCCACAAAGTTTTTGCCTGTTGGTTTGGTGCCATGCAATCTGAGGTGCATACATACATGCTGCGCGTACGGCAGCACCAGTAGGAGCGACGAGTCAAGGTTGCTGGGCTGGGGCACTCAATTTTCTTCGGGGTGTGAGCGTCTAAATTTAGCAGCAGCATCAGATAGTATCAGGCAAGTAAGAATGATACCTCTTGTGCGACAGGTAGTAGTGGGTGTGAATTTTGGGCCCCTGCCCCAAGCTCCGGCGCTAGGACTTTTGTACCGGCAGGGTTTGCAAGGAATAGAGTGGGGAACCAACAACAGCTGCCATCATCGCAATGATCCCTCGTTTTTGCTTGGGGAGAGAGTAGTTGGCGTGTTGCGCTTGTCCCTATCTGTTAGACAAGGAGAAGGAATCACCGGTTGTGGCTTTCTTCAAGGCTGCTTGCCCCTGGCAGCACCGACAGCAAGTACATTGCTTCCGGAAGTTCATACCCAGTGGGTGGGACATGGAAAACATTTCTGCTGGAGAACGCCGAGTGTCAGCAAGATCACGAGAAACATCAAGCCAGGCTTACCCTCACTTTCTTGCGTGGGGCGGAGGTCGAGCACTAGTCTTTTTGTGCAGATTTTGGTGCGGAACGTGGCGTTGATGGTCGGCACTTTTTGTCGAGGGTCTTGAATAGTTTATCTCCGCCTCCCTTTACAATGTGTCCTTTTTTGATCGGACCGAAACTAGAGCTGTATGGGCGTGTTGTAGCTGTGAGCAACTGGATGAATGTCTGTGGTTTTCACGCTCGTACCGACATCGCTCTCTAGCAGTAGCTGATTCGCGCTCACGGCCTGCTGCTTGGTTTTTGATCAACTTGTGCGAAACTCTTATACACCGTCCTTTGCCTGTATCTTTGTTCGCCTCTCGCTGCCCACGAAGGTTTCAGGCCTAGCTCGGTCTCGTATTCTAAACACGCCGCCTCGGGGGAAGGGAGTTCCAAACGAGAGGGGGGTTCTAGCCTTCGACGGAGCTGAGCAGAATGGACACTGGCGACGGCTTGAGCGGAGACGGAGAGATGCCACCGGAGAACCCGGCCGGGGGCGGCGGGACGGGGGCCGGGCTCAAAGAGGGTGAAGAAGAAAACAGCAACGGCGGAGAAGAACGGGTTGGGTCCGCGTCGGACCTTGGTGGTTCCGTGGCCGCGCCATCTCCGCCGCCGCCGCCGCCGCCGCCGCCGCCGCCAGCAGCGCCGACCCTCGCCGTCGGCAGCGGCGCCGTCGCAGCCGCCGTCGCGGCCGCCGCCGCCGCCGGGTTCGTGAAGGTGCCGGCGCCCGCGGCAACAACAACCCCGACGACGAGAAGGAAGTCGAGGACGGTGGCGGTGACGCCAGCTAGTAGTGGCACCAGCACTAGCACTAGCGCTAACACCACGCCGCCGCCGCCGACGGTGACGCCAAAGCGAAAGGCAGCAGCAGCGGCGGGGACGGCAGGCCCGAGCAAGAAGAAGCAGCCGACGCCGAGGAAGGCAACGCCGAAGAAGTCGAAGGCCGCCGCCGCCGCCGCCGCTGCGACCCCGAGGCCGAGAACGGCGGAGTCGGAGGGCAGGCGCCCGAAGCGCGCGAGCGCGGCAGCGGCGGAGGCTGCCGGTTGGCAGATCCGGGAAGAGTCGTCGTCTTCGTCATCTGCCGAGGAGGAGGAGGAGCAGATCGAAGACTCGCCGCCGGCGTCGCCGAGGAGACGGCGTAGGGGAGGCGCTGCTGCTACAGCCGGGAGGACGACGGGGAGGGTCGGGGCGGGGGCGGCGGGGAGGGCGGCGGCGGAAGCGGCGGCGGCGATAGCGGCGGCGGAGGCCGCCGAGGCGGAGGCGGACGCGGCTGCGGCCGCGTGGGAGG